TGAGAAGAAGATTTTTTAATGACCCCACCCAATTTTTTTATTTTCTTGATTATCTCCCCTTTGAAGGGGACTTGGCCCTTCATTTTAACAATTTAAACTCCCCTTCACCCAAGGATGCTTTGTACCAAGTTAGGTTAAAATTGGCCCAGTGGTTCTTGAGAAGAAGTCGAAAATGTGAAAAGTTTACAGAAGGACGGACTTACGGACGACGGACAACGGGTGATCAGAAAAGCTCGGGTGAGCTAAAAAGTCTTTCGAAGCGAACGATGTCATTTTAAAGCAGGTTAATGATTGATATATAAACAAAATACACGCTTGAAGCGGGTGTGCCTGAAATTGAGTTAGGTAATTTGTGGTAAAAATAAGTAGAGGTGCCCCGTATACGAAACAAGTGCCTGTGTATTGATAACTTTTATTGAAATGAAAAGGGAATTAACTCAATTTTTTCCCCAAGTTGAAAAAAAGAATAGAGTTATTCCTCTTATCATAGATGCCACTAGATGTTTTTATTAGATAGACAATATATTTCTTGTTAATACGGTATTTTATGAATTAACATTTAAACAAATGTTTGGAAAAAACATTATTTGAAGTTGAATATATTTTATAATTAATGTAAGAGAACAAAAAAAGAAAGAATCAGTTGATATCATTTTTGTTGAACAACTGACATGAAAAAAGGTACACCATCTGCTTCTATGAAAAAAAAAACCTACCTGCCACATTGAATTTTTGAAAGTTTTGGCCTGAAAAACTATAAATTAATTTTTTTTTGCCTTAGCAGCTGTTCTACACCTACAGAAAACATTCTCTACACTTAATGGAACATGCATTTCAATTAAGAAGTTGCATAATTATCAATCTGATTAAAATAAGATTTTTGTTACGCTCCGAAATTCTGATGGTCGCTGCACAAAGATCTGATTTTCATCAGATTGCATAAATATAAATAATTTTCCGTATTTCTGTTTTTAGTGTTTTACTGTATTATTTTGTCCTAAGATTAATTAAAATAATTGTAAATTCAATCATATTTAACCATAATGTAAGCAGAAAACAATACATTAATGTCAAATTTTTCATTTTACCTAAACTTGTACATCTTTTTTCTCATCCTTACTTTTCTTCTGAGAGTCTAATTTTACAGTATTTGATTATAATAAAATACAATGAGATTGGACACAACCCCTTCCTCTTCTATATATTCCTAATTCATTAACACTCACTTGAACAGTTCACTATGTTGTAACATTTTTATTCTCTAATCTAACATCAAATGTGTATATTCATTTTTTAATGAGCACCTTTTTCTACATATAAGAATTATCTCTTTCTGTATGCTTAGTAGATATGAAATCCAATGAAAACTCTAGTCATAATACATATAATTATATGTACATGTATACTAATGTTACATTTAGCCTTTGGAAGAAAAAACATAATTCATTAACACTCACTTGAACAGTTCACTATGTTGTAACATTTTTATTCTCTAATCTAACATCAAATGTGTATATTCATTTTTTAATGTATACTAATGTTACATTTAGCCTTTGGAAGAAAAAACATAATTCATTAACACTCACTTGAACAGTTCACTATGTTGTAACATTTTTATTCTCTAATCTAACATCAAATGTGTATATTCATTTTTTAATGAGCACCTTTTTCTACATATAAGAATTATCTCTTTCTGTATGCTTAGTAGATATGAAATCCAATGAAAACTCTAGTCATAATACATATAATTATATGTACATGTATACTAATGTTACATTTAGCCTTTGGAAGAAAAAACATAATTTGTCAAAATAATATAATTATTCAAATTTATAAAATATTCTCAAAGCTACTCTCCCTTGGTTAAAAATAAAGAAAATGTATAGCAAATTTAACTTCTGCATACAAATTGAACAATACATAAACAAAATGAAAAGCTACATACTGTGGATCATTAAAATTAGTGGTAGCCAAATTTCGTGGATTGCCTAAATTTTACAGATTCGTGCGTATGTAATTTTGAATATTCTTTTAAACCTACAAAAGGAAATATGACTTTGTAACCCTAGTTCATACATTCTTGGAGGGTTTAATTCGTGGATGAGAGGTACCCACGAATTCCACAAAAATTGAGCCATCACAAAATCTAATGGTTCCACAGTATTACATCAGTGTTTCACAATCCTGCTGTATCTAATTCATCACAAGACCTTACAGAATCATCCACTCACAAATACAATAAACTTTACAAAAAATTGTATGTTTTTTTCTTAATCTCACTTTGGTGGTACAAAATTCAAGGCTTGTTTTATTACCCATTAAAAGTTGAACTTCAATATCTCGAACACTGATATCTCGAATACCATGGATATGTCAAAGTGATTTAGAAGTCCCAACCACTTATTCTTCAAGTTTTTTTTACCCCTAATATCTCGAATCCTCCGTTATCTCAAAGTTTTTTCTTGGTCCCATCGAGTTCAAAAAACTGAGGTTTGACTGTACAAACCATTCAAAATAACTGTGTATTTTTAACTACATTTTAATAAGAATACTGGCCAAATTTCATAAACACACAGAAGAGATTCATGCCCTATAAATTCAATACCTTTGTGGACATACATACAATTAATGCAGTGAAGTACTGTAGAAACATACTCAAGAGAATGTAATTCTCCAAAAAAAAAAAAAAAATTAAATAGTGCTACCATTTTTTTTTCATTTGTCAGAATCACTTTTCAAAACTTTGTTTAAGCATGTGAATTCTTCAAAAATATTGCTGACTCTCTGTGCATTTAAAACTAAATGGAAAAGTTGCCACTGCAAATAAGTGAATTAACTCAAAAAATTGTCAGGAGTCAGTTAATTTTGAAATCTCCACAGCAGAACTGCCATATATTGATATAAAAAAACACAATATAAAACCAGATTTATCTGACAACCTTCCAATGTCATTAATTAGATAATATATGTAATGATAATTATTGCATAGTTAACAAAGGCTAGGAAGCAGAATACATGGATGCCCCCGCTGACCTGGAAGTTTTAGGTATGTGAAAGTTCAAGAACGTGAAAATAAAATATATTGCTGTTTTCTGGAATAAGTTGTCTATGCCACAACATACTTAAGCTGCATGAAATGGTGGTCACTTACAAACAAAGAAGTCTGAAAAAAGGTCCAAAAACAGTGAATAGTTAGAGATTTTGAAAGTCTACTTTTGTAATGAGAGGTCCATGGGCCACATTGCTCACCTGAGTCACTATGGCCCTGCTGTTCTTTTTTCCCTATATATTCCTATGCAAAACTCTGATCATCTATCGTGATCCGACTCTACACCTGGGATAATAAACATGGCTTTGTTGTTCTTAAGAGCAAGACTTTTCAAGATTTTTTTCACATTTATTTCTAATTAAAACTGTGATCGCTCATTGTGACCCTACCTTTCCCCTAGGGGTCATGATTTGAACAAACTAGAATCTACAATATGTGATGATGCTTCAATATAAATAAGACTAATCATGGCTTGGTTGTTCTTGAAAAGATTTTTATTTTTTCTAACATATTCTCATGAAAAAAATTGATTACCCATTGTGGACCCACCCTACCCCAGATGTCATGATTTGAACAAACTTGATTAAGAATATACAATGAAGCTTATACATAAGTTTCATCTTTTCTGGTACATTGGTTCTTGTGAAGTAGATTTTTGAAAGATGCCATATAATTTTCACTTATTCTTAGTCATCTCCCTTTGATGGAGAGTGTGACCTTTCATTTGAATAAACATGTATCCTCTTCACCAAAGGATGCTCTTTGAAATTGACCCAGTGGTTCTTATAAAGTCAAAATCAGCTCATTATCTAGTATATCTAAAGGTGTAGCAAAAAAAGTCCAGAAAACTTATTATGACTGGATGACAGAATGTCAGACGGAAAGGGATAACACTATATATCCCGGCCATTTCATGGTGGGGGCATAAAAAAGACAAATTACAAGCTCAATGTTCTTTTGGAGGAAAAATGGCTATTTTTAAACACTAAATTTTTGCTTCTTTATCATATTTACGTCATGAACTTCAATCTTTATATTTGAGATATAAATCATATGCAGAGAACATCACAGTTATAATATACATGTACAAATCTAAATACAAAATCTACAAATTTAAATACAACAGATAAATATATGTAAAAATAGGGGGAAAAAACAACTGTATACTATAACATAATTGTATATATTTACATGTATAATTTAATTCAGTTCAGCTTTGCTGAAAAATGCATGTGTATACATATGTAACAATATTTATTAAAAAAAAAAAATTGGGAAAAAAATTAAACCTAATAAAAAAAATGTTTTAAAACTTAAAGAGAGAGAAGAAAAATCAATCTACTTTGTGAAGCTACCTACAATTTCAAGTGCTTAAAAATAAATGTAATGCATGAAGAGTCATGAAGATGCATGAAGATTTTAATATTTTTTTCTCTTGTTCATTACAAAGAAACACAAAACATCCAAAAAAAAAAAAAAAAAAAAAAAAAAAAAAAATAACAACAACATAAAACTGCAAAGTAAATAATACTTCTGAGAGTACAATGTTAAGTCTTTGCCCTATATTTAGTACATATTTGCTAAATCTGTATCAAAGATTACTGTAGAGTGAAAATGAATTTGAATTTAAATTGAATTTATATTATTAAAAAAAATTACAACCATAAATTGATGGCACAAATGTAAACTGATGTTTAAATGACAGAGATCAAAAATACTGTATATAAAGTGAAGATATCAAAATCTTGTTCTCATTCACTTAATGCTTGCACTGAGTAACTCCTGTTTAACTGAGATTATAAAGGAATAGTTGTTCATACAAGTAAATGCTTGTCATGGCACACACCATAAATGCTGTATTGCGAAATTCTGATATCAAAAAAAATAATTCAATATGACAATAAATTTGCAAAAAAATTGAAAAAAAAATACATGTATATTTGTATGTACATGCAATAAATTGCAAATTCAAGGAAAATGTCCCCTAAAAGAAAAAGAAAAATGACTTTTCAGTGATAAGTCCCTTTACTGGTTTTAGAAATAGCCTCATGTCTTGGATTCCTGAAATCCCAAGGATCAGGAGTACGAGAATCCCTCTTCAACCTAGGATCACCTTTCTCAGAGACACTTTGCTCTCGTGAATAGCTACCTTCCCTCACCTCACGCGAAGCACTGCCCTCTCTAGGTCTTCCTCTATCCTTCAGTTCTTGGTTATAATTATATGCCTCCTGTGCTGGAATTTGACCCCCTCTTTGATCTCTCCCTCTGACATCTGAACTGGAGTAATGTTTCTTGTAAGGCTGTCTTGGAGAAGGGGGTGGTACCAGATCTGATTGTGAACTTGCCCTATGCTGATATTGTGCATGTGATTGGTCATGCTGGCTTTTGTTCCCTTGTCTATCACTGTAGTAATTAGAGGGTAGGTGTGGCCTGTCATAAGACCTTGAGTGATAGGAGCTATGGTCACTATCATAGGAGGACACAGATGTTGGAGGTCTCTCATTTGGGTAGTGGGGAGGTGGAGATCTATACTGCTGGTAGTGGGGCAAGTTGTGAGAATGCACTGTATGGGAAGACCCAGGATGTGGGACTGTAGTATTGCATTGAAGAATGGGGCCCCCAGGAGTAGAGGCCTGTGTAGAATGACCAAATGAATCTGATGGTGCATTGTATTGTGGTGATGTTTGAGAAGGGAGGTAATTCTGGGAATTATTCTGTTGGTAGTCATGATTGGGAACATTTAAAGATGATGGGGGCTTTCTGGTGTCACCCATTTGGGTCTGGGTAGGTTGCCTATGTGGAGGGGGTAATGGTGGTGGGGGTGGGGGAATATTCTCGTAGACAGGGTGTGGGGTTCTTCTTTCAGATCCAGTGTCCCCTAGTTTCCTCCATACAACCTGAAAGAAAATGCAATTAATACCTTTTATAGTTCCAATCACGGCATAATGCAATTTGAATATACATAAAACTAAAGAAATATATGGTAGTACATGAATAGACACTGTATATGCTAAAATAAAATGGCTATATACAATCCATATTTTAACATTGTGACATTGATACAGACTAAATGGCCTACAGACAATAAGAAGTTGTTAAGAATTAAAATACTGCTGGTTTGCAAAATGCAGGTAAAATTCTTTTCTGAAATACACAGATACAAATGTAAAATATATGATAAAAATTGTAGGACACCAGTGTAATTTGGCAATCTAATATGTACATATATTATACATTGTACTTGTATACATAACATCTACTGCTGAACTTACATTGCACATTTCTCTGACAATGGCCTTTTCTTTATCATCTAGATTTTCACCACCAACCTCCGTCTTAGGGCGTTCTAACTGTTCATGGACTTCCAACACCTAAAATTTAAGTACATCAGTAAACAAAATAAAAGTTCACTACCGCATTAGTACTAATAATAAGTTTCAGATCAAAACTTTTACTCTTTAATGTGAATGGTATTTTTCACCTGACCTTTTTTTTCTATGTATAAATGAACAGTACCTTCATAGCATGTACAACAGCCTCTGGTTTAGAAGGGGTCTCTGCCAGAGTGCTGGGGGTACTCGGGGTGGAGGAATTCTGGTCCCCACCATTTTTCCCCACTGGTGTGCCTCTTTGTTCAGTGGGAAAAAGGCTCTGCTATCAAAATATTGAACACAGTTTTGAGAAAACTGAAGACAAGTACATTTATCTCCATAAGATATTTTACAAAGAAAAAATCAATTCTGTGAAACTAAAGGGTACCTTCTGATATTCTTTAAATATCAAATGTCATTGTTAGATAATTTTGAACATTTTATCAACATTCTAATATTAGTGTGGTACCTAATCTTCATTCATGCACATGTTATTGTACAACTGATATAAATGTACAGTGTTTAACTTATCATTGGTTTCAATAACAAGCATTCAATTCCTCACTGATTAACATTTTTAACTTACCATGGCTTTAAATGAAAAATTTTGACCTACATTGTTGACTTAACCACAGTTTGGTTGGAGAATCCTAATTTACCTCTACCACTTGTTCAAATAAATCCTTCGACTTACCACTCATTTGAATGAAGAATCTTTGAATTACAACTGGTTTAATTTGAATACATGTAAATCACCACTTGTTTAAAAAGAAACATTTATTCACCACTGGTTTACTGTTGTCATTGCATTTACTTTGGCTATATTGAAATTCAAGGGACCAACATATTTTTTTACAATATAACCAGTTTTAAATAAGTGTAATTGGCCTATGAAGACTTAAAATCCTGATCTAAAACATGTTGACAAACCTGAAGCAATGTCAAATTTACAAGGCTTTAATAGTGAAATGAAATAGTTAGTTCATGAAATATTTACCAATGTGAAAAAGTCCAACATTTCTAATCTCTACATAATTTCCTGATCTTTTTCTTTTTTCGTTAGGGAAAAAATCACCCGACTGAAAGCTTCAATAACAGCAACACACTGTTTGTACATGTATATCATTGCTAGTGTGTGCTCAAATTGATCCCAAAATCCTTTGCTTATTTGGATTTATATTTCACATTTTTATTTATGACAGACATTACTTCACTTTAATTAATATGTAAAGACATTTTTTTTTCTTGTGGATTAGCCATGGTCATCAACCGTGATAACAACTGGCCAGGTGAAGTTCAATAGTATAGCAGTTATAAAAACAACTCAAAATCAGCTCACTGGACCGATAATTTACTTTAATATAAGTGATTTCAATTTAACTGATATTTTATTGCAAAGATAATAATAAATTGAGACAGGGGATTTAGTTTTTCTTCAAAATGAGTGATATCTCAAAATAAGCAATTTCAACATAAGTGGAGTGGGTTGCATTTGTTAAACTACAATAATCCATCTTAACACTGGCAAACTGGAAAACCTCAGCCTACATGTACTATTAACCTTCAACTCACCACTAGCTTATCCATTTTCTTACTACCATGAATTAACCTGAACCCCCTCAGTTTACTATTAGTTTAATAACAGGAAATCTTTATCTTACCACTGGTTTGACTGGAGAACCTCGGAGTTGTTGGTGAGAGGGAGGACTCTGTGACTGTTTATCATTGGTTGAACTTGGAAATCTTTGAGCCGTCTTCTAGAATAATGGACATATCATTTAATAAAATCAAATAAAAATTACTTTCATTTTACTTTTATTGAAAAAAAGGTGTTAAAAATATATAATTTAATTCTGATTGTAATGTGCCATTTGATTGGATAAAAAAAATTACTTTATATCGTATAAACTGTGTTGCCTACATCACAATGACTTGCGTCGAGCCACTTGACTTTACATTTAAATTGTGCACAATTTGAAGTCATCTTATAATAGCAATTGTCTCATTTTCTTTTATTATACTTTCATGTTAAATACTAAAATCTGATTGGTTTTGGCGCATTTAACAATCTGTAATGTTACCCTCAGCGTTAGCAACACACTTGACAACAGGTAACATTACGAAAATGTCACATGCGTTCAAATCATGCGTGTACGGTTCACCGTAGAATTCTCAAATTGTGCGTTTGAAAGAAGCCGAATAAACGACATCAATAAAAGCTTGCGTCCGATGTAGCTTACTTGAAAACAACAAATGACAGACAAAACATCCTTGCGAGTGCTAACTTTAGGTGATAAAGGACTTTTTGAGTAGCAAACAAACAATAAAGAGGTTGGTAAATCTTTTCCGAAGCTTTCTTATTGAGAAAAATAGAAGCGGGGAGTTTGAAAGCTTTCTAAGCATGAACTTAACGACGATCTCCGAATTTTTTTGAGACATCCAAAATCAATATGACATTCAGTATAATAAAATAAATAGTGCACGTTTTTGAGGGTATCAGTTGAAATTGACACCCCTCGGAAAACCATTGTCAACCTCCGCTGACGCGTCAGTTGACAATGGTTTTCCTTGGGGTGTCAATTTCAACTGTTACCCTCAAAAACGTGCACTATCTATATAATACTAAATGAATGAAAATTAAATAATAAGAAATGAATTTAATACCAACCCATTTTATATGGTATAAACTAGGTTGGAAAAGTTTAAGCTTTTTCATAAACCGCTTCACAGTTTATAAAGCGTAGACTGCCCCAACCCAGTTTATACCATATAAATTGGGTTGCTATTAAATTCATTCCTTATATAAGTTAAAATGATTTGAAGAAAAAATTTAAGCTACAGCATGTACTGATATCATATCCAGTCTTCACCAGAATTTGCCAACCGCTACAAGTGACTAACACAAGTCACCAGATTATTCCTATTTAATTGAACATTTTTTTTTTAAATCATTTTTAATTCTCGTGGAAGATCCCCATATAGAAACATGAAAAAAAAATATGCATCAAAATTCATTCATATTGCTATTTATTGGTCAGACCTCTATCTTTCCATACAAATTTCTTTGTGTGGTGAGTTCTGCTGAAGACTGATTAATGTATATCCAGTATTTTAGAATACAAAAAAAAGTCATAAATCTTAACGGTTTGTTCATTCATATTGCTATTTATTGGTCAGACCTCTATCTTTCCATACAAATTTCTTTGTGTGGTGAGTTCTGCTGAAGACTGATTAATGTATATCCAGTATTTTAGAATACAAAAAAAGTCATAAATCTTAACGGTTTGTACCTGTAAAACTGATTTCTCTTTTTCCAGCTGTTTAACTTGAGTCTCTAACTGCTGTATGTAACCTTGACCTGAATCTGCAGAAAAAAATTTCATTTTGAAAGGGAAAATAAATAATTTATTCCAATCAAATATTTTATCAAGATTTAGCTCTGAGAAATGTTGGACGATTGGTTTGTTCATTTGATGAAATGGAGAGAATCACAGTTCAAAGATGCCCAACTAGTGAATAACAAATGTTTCAACATAGCATTCAATGTTACAAATAATGATCATCTTTATATATAGTGTTCCCAGAAATTTTTAAAAATTTTTTTGAGATATATTTTTTAAAATAAATTGTAAAAATAAAATAATATAAAATATAATTTTTATCAAAGGTCATTTCCTTCTTTCCTAAACTATGTGCAGTTTTCAAAAATAAATGCCACCTTATTTTTTACCTTCTTTGATTTCTGCAGAAAAGTTAATACCACAAGGAAAAAAGTACTTCTACAGTATTACAAAAAATTCTCAATAATTTCAGCTAGGGAACAATATGCTGTAATACATGTTGTGTACACTATATTTAGATCTAAAATGTAAATGCTATCATGTTAAATGTGAATTATTATTGCATTCAATAATTATAGTCACATTTAAATGTAGGAATTTTGATTTAATTGTATAAACCTCTCCTGTTCAATTCATTGGTAACAGCTACATCAGGAATCTGAGGTGACTGTACACTTTCTTCATTCCCAGCTGTTGTACTATTACTGCTACCATCCCCATCATCTCTTGTCTGGGTAAAATGAACACGTTCCTGATCAAGATACAAACAAAGCTCTTTAAGCTCCATGTTCTCCGAGATAAGTTCATCCTGTTTGCTTTCCAGAGCTTTCAGTTTATCTTGGTAAGCGGACACTTCACTTCTCATGACTGAAGCAGTGTATCGACCAAAACGCTGCCACTCACGAGCCAACTTTCTGCTTCTTTGCCTGTCATCATCCAGAAAGCAACACAAGTCTCTCAGTTCTTGATTGTCATCCTGTAACTTCTGGTTTATATCTTTCAAACCCCTCATTTCCAGATTGTAAACCTGAATACGTCGATTTACGTCCTTGATGATACCACTGTGTTCTGCAATGATTGACCTGTTTTCCGACTCAAGACGTCGCACCATGCGCAAGAGATCCTCTACTCCCTTTCTTCGGAGTTCCTCGTCACTCTGTTTACCAATAGATGCTCCATACTGACTGGGAGTAATCGGTTTGTACGGTCCTGGCCCCGGTGAATTCTGCGTCGGTACAGGAGTACTTCGAGCACTAGACCCTGCGGACGGCACTGACGAAACACTCATTTTAACCATGTAGCCAGTTAAATTTTTCTCTTGTCTAAAAGAAATTGTTGACTTGTCAATGTTGAGAATGAAAGTTCAAACAATCAAAACAAAGCAACACGTCAAAGGATTCGACGTTTTAGACAGAAAGCAATCGCACGTTAATTCAATTTGATTATTAATTTTTTTCCAAGCTGTAGCATAACTCTTTTCAGTTAGGGCCTACTCAGTCTGAAAATTTGTTGATAACTTGATTGTCCCAACGACCCAAGTTCAGTAACACTAACATGGCTGACACATGTTTACTTCCGTTTAAGCCGGTGTTTTCCCGGTAGATGGCAGGTTGATAAAAAAAATTTAAAATTAATCCATACATAAAATGATTCGTGCTTACTGTCAGGCGTAGACTGGTACATGTATATGTCAGGCGCAGATCCAGGAATTTTTTCCAGAAGGGGAGGGGGGAATCAGAATCAGAAAGAAACTGGGGGGATAAGCCGAGCCATATGCCTACATAACGATCGATAAAAAAATCAGTAAATTCATTTTTAAAAAATTTCACTTTTTGTTGAATTAATGTAATGCTTATTACCATTTGCATACAAATTTGACAAAACCTGAATACTGTAACAGCGAAAATGATCCTGATTAACACAAAAAAATGGCATCACGCTCAATTTTCACAAATACTGACATAAATTGGATGATATAACTACATTTTTTAAATAGAGTGGGTCATCGTACCATTTTTTTGAGAACGATTAAAGGCAATGGAAAGATGTTGCTTTTTACACTTGCAAAAATTTGGTACGAAGACCCACTCTACATTAAAAATTAAGTTAACTTACTTAAATGTTCACCGTGGTCTTAAAAAATTCTAAGTCCAAATACGCTTGCTAAATATAGAGAACTGTATGCTATTTAAATGGGTATGTAAGTGTGACTCCGTGGTATAGTGGTTAGCGAGGAGCTCTTTAAAGGGATGTTTATTGAGGAAAGTGTTCGATTCATGATTTTTTTTTTATTTTTTGGGGAGGGGGTTAATTTTGTTTTACTTTATAAAAAATGTCTATAGGAATAACATATTTTTCACTGGAAATTATATATATATATATATATATATATATATATATATATATATATATATATATATATATATATATATATATATATATATATATATATATATATATATATATATATATACATCCCAAGAAATCCCGTCCGATTTAGCTTTGAGCTGAACTCAATACAAGTGCTATTAACGCTAATCACCGATATTCCCCTAAGAGTGATTCGAGACAATTTATGGCAGAATCTTCTAGAGGTGGATCTAAAAAAAAAAATACTTTTACAAATATTTTCCTCGGATGTCATTGATAATTATAGCATTTATTTCCTTTAATATGCTCAATATTATTTTGCTACCACGCGTTCTTCTACCTTTTTGCATGTGGAATATATTTAAATTTTATTTAGATTTAATTAAATTTATCTTGAAATTTAGCGATTTCTTTTTTATTATAGCCTTAAAATATTTTTAAATCTAAGGAGAATCTATAGTGTACAAGTCCCTCTAAGACACAGTTATGAGTTACCCCATACCCTGCATACCCTACATACCCCTTGAGAAGAAGGTAAACATGGCCTATTTACACCCTTCCTACTACGCATTCAAAGGCAATATTTCTCAATATTTGAAATTTTAATTCTTTTCCCCCAGACACTCTCCTTCCCATATATGCCCTAAAATCAGCCCATTCCACCCCGTATACATCCGAAGACATATTTATGAAAAAACCTGTGTTTTTATATGGCACTACTTGCGTGGTCAATGAAAAGGGGGGTAAAATTAGTAACCTGTGATACGCTTATACTTTCTAAAAAAAAAAAAAAAAAAAAAAAAATAAGGGTTACAAACTCAAACATGTATTTTAATTTCCTTTTTATTTTAATTTGTTTATCGTTTACTCGTTTATTTTCTATAATTATATGTTTCATTTTAAACTCGTTATTATTATTGAGCACGTATAGGAAATTGAAATCACGCCCCCCCCCTCCAATGAAAGGCCTTATATTGTTCTTTTAAAGCTTTAATTTTAAATCTGAAAAAAATGTTGGATCCTTCCCTCAACAGTGCTGCCATCATTTGTCTCGCATCACTCTCATGGGTAACATAAAGATTAGCGTTAATTGCGCTTTGATTGAATTCAGTCTAAAGCAACACCGGAGAAAATCCACAGAATTTCTTCCCATGTAACAAGATCAAAAAGCCCCCCCTTTTTTTCAGGTTTTTTTTCTTGAATTGATTTTTTAAAATATGCATATTTTTTTCTATGTTTCGGATTGAGTGAAATTCGTGAAAAACGGAGAGCTCCTTATTTAAAAGCTTGCCATTTCACTTGTAAGCATTATCCATGCGAACGCAGTTTTGAAATCCAGATATTTGACTATATAAGACACAATCCAAAGCCAAGTAAATTCTTCTTAACCGTAACAAGATCAAAAAGCCCCCCCCTTTTTTTCAGGTTTTTTTTTCTTGAATTGATTTTTAAAAATATGCATATTTTTTCCTATGTTTCGGATTGAGTGAAATTCGTGAAAAACGGAGAGCTCCTTATTTAAAATCTTGCCATTTCACTTGTAAGCATTATCCATGCGAACGCAGTTTTGAAATCCAGATATTTGACTATATAAGACACAATCCAAAGCCAAGTAAATTCTTCTTAACCATGATGTGTGTGTGTGTGTGTGTGTGTGTGTGTGTGTGTGTGTGAGAGAGAGAGAGAGAGAGAGAGAGAGAGAGAGAGGGAGAGAGAGAGAGGGGGTGTGTGTAGGTGTGTGTGTGTGTGTGTGTGTGTAGTAATGAACTCATTTACAGTAAATTATCTAAAATGAGGGATTAAAATTATAATAGATATTTGAATACTTTTATTCCCGTTTTTATTTATTTTTACTACAAGCGCTTCTAGATCACCACTATCATTATATACAATGTTAACATTTTTATAATATCTCCACAATAAGTATTAACACTCAATACGCAGATTAATTAATAGAAGTCCCTACCCATGTTAGACACTTGTGACAGTAAATGTAAGTCAACTGTTTAGCTTGTTTGGAATATAAATATTATTTTGAGAACTACTGTAAACATTAAAATGCTTAAGTAAATACGAACAATTGAGAGATTTTTTCCAATAAATGTTCTTGCATAGCCGAAAAATGGGCATGGGCACATGGCTCGTCTTATCCCCCCAGATTCTTTTATTTAAAGTCGGATTTTCAAACAAATAACAAGCTCTGTAGAGCTTCTGACCGACATGATTAGTAAGACATATACATAAAATACATAAATGACAATATACACATTTAATTATAAACATAGTTAAAATTTCAATGGCATGCAGCACAACAGGCATAATTTACACACACAAAAACACAACCAACAACACATATAGCATGCATTTACTGGGTTCAAACCAGTCAAAACATTTCCAACCCAGAAAATTTCTTAACAAGCATAACTTGAAAAAAAAATCCATTTCCCAAATGTGAAAAAAAAATTCATGGTGGTGCTGGTGGGATTCACGTTTTCCCAGAGGGTCCAAAGTCATTTTTTATTTACTTCAGTGTATAATTTTAATAACTCTGTAAATTCCAAGGGGGTGGGTCCGGACACCCTCTAGATCCGCGCATGTTTCTGTTAGGGGATTTCTTACCTCTCTGATACATAGCTATTTTACATCACAGTAGGTTATCATGTATAAATATATTGATGCCAAGTATAAAGTTGACCGCAAACTCTCTACCTGCCGATCATGATTCCCTGCATCTATGACACGTACGTGATGATGCCGATGATTTCTGCAGGTACTACTGCACAGGCGATTATGGACATCAAAATAAATGTAAAGTGTCGAGAGAGGGAAAAAAATTTTGTCATTTGCATCTTTTGCAAATTCAAAAGAAAATTAAGTACCAACTTTTCTCTTTAATTTTCTCTAGTATCGAGTTGCTTTTATACTAGTCTAGTACATTAATTACACATTCCCAGTCTGGGGAGCATTTCTTGTAAAATCTTTTTGTCAAATCACAAATTAATAATCAGCTTAGGAATGAGGGAAAAAAGAAACGCATTAATACCAATACTTAAAAAAAAAATATGAAAACATTTTTTAATTTAAATTTATTCATGACATTTATGCATGCTATCAGTATGTAATTATTCTATCGAAAAAATATAAACACTGCATATGATTGAGGGTAACATTGTTACCCTTAAATTACATGCAATATTTATTAGATCTATATTATACTGAATGTTTTATAAAATACAAAAAGGTGATTCTGCGCAGACAGTATTTTTTTTTTTGGAATATCACCCGTCGTCAAGCAATATTGACTGTTGCTAAGTTCTACAGCGATGGAGGTCGTGATTTCATCATTAAGAGGGTAACAGTGTTTCTCGACGAATCAAATTCAAGTAATTCTGATTCTATGTTGGCAAAAAAAATGATGGAAAAGAAAAGAATTGTGACGTATGTCTTTTGTCTTCACCAGACCGCTACTTACACAGTGGTTGATTCAAATGGTGTGTGTAGTGAATCTTAAATGCAAGTTTGAGCCGGTACAATTATTTGTGCAAAATAGTTGAATATATACAGTTAGATTGCATTTAAAATCTAAATATTTTGACAATTTAGTATGAATTGGAAGATTTTATACCCAAGTCAAAAGCATTTTTTAACAAGATAAATTGTCAGTACATGCTATTTTTTATGTTTGAACTATATCTTATAATGGATTTTGCTCTCACGATGATGATGGTAAATGATGCTTAAAATTCACATGCAATATGTTTCATTTCAATAAATAAGCAAACACGGGGGTCTGCTAGACATTTCATATGCCCTTCGTTTACAATATCCTGGATACACCCCTCGATATACCAAACGCATTTCAGCTCTGAAGTAATTATCAATCTGGTAAAAATTATACACTTTGGCCTGCTCACGTTAAATTGTTTGCCACTCAAATACTAGAG